TCTTCCACTGTCTTCCGACAGTCCAAGTCTCTGCATATGATGATTCAAATGACAGTGACCTGTAAGAAGACCTGTTAGACATCATAGTTCAAGCCTACTGTAGTCCAACATCTGTTTGGTATCAAGCTTCGAAGGGTGAATAAACGCCTTGGAGTGAGCCAATCCTTGGAAAATTCTGCCAGAAGCCCACAAATCTTCTTGTACTCCAGGTGTTCAAAGTTTGTTTGGCGAAGCGATGCCAACGACAGGTTCTGGTCCAACGAGGCTGCTTGCAGCACCCTCCTTTGCAACGGAGTCAGCAGCTTCTTTGCCTTCCAGGCCAGTATGGCCAGGAATTCAGACCAGAGACAATCTGTCAAGTCTTCCTATCGAGGAGAGTCGTTTTTGGCAATTTGCTACCAATTTAGACGTTGCTCGGTAGGAGCCAAGAACAACCAACACCGCTTGACTGTCCGAAAATATTTTTGTTGACTTGTGTGTAAGGTTGGATTTATCCAATCTCTCCGCACACAATTCAATAGCGTAAATTTCCACATGAAATACAGTCGCATAAGTTCCTAGGCAGATAGATATCTCTAAAAGAAGTTTCTGTCTTGAATTCTTTTTCCGATTGATTTGTGATTTTACAGAGCAATATGAATAAATGTTATAAGTAGTAGCACTCACAGAAACGAACTTCCCCAAATCAATGGTCGGGATTCTGGATCTTATAGAGAAAGATTAAGGAACGAGAGGGATTTGAGAAATCAGTTGGGGAGGCAAGAACTGGCAGCATCACCACCATTATAACCGCTTTAACTGTTTGGGTAAAAATCATTATTCATTCAACAACCATAAGGAATTTAATTTTTCGACCTCCAACATTGCACACTGACATAGCCCTCAACCCAAATTCTTCAAGTCATTAAGATGAAAAAAAATAAACAAAATAAATAACTGCAGCTATTTTTAAACACTAATCAAAACCTTTCAAAGATTTTTGACAAACCTATTCATAATTAATTCAATGAAACGAATTTGTATAAGTAACAATTTTATTTGTCAAAAAATATACATATAAACAATATAAAAATATCTTCTGTTTCAAATCCTACATTGCACTTCTGGAAATTTTTCTAGTTTGGAATATTTTTCTAAATATCACAAATACTAAATGAGAAATATATGTTTAAATACCTCATAATCTTATAATACAAATAAAGGTACACACAAAAATTATATATGACACAATTTTGACTTGACCTTATTGAAAAAAATGGCAAGAATACTTAAAATAAATACAACTCCATATATATCAACCCCTTAGCATGAAATGACAAAAGCATTGTTTCAAGAAACTGACAATCAAAAGAAAAAGATAAAAAACGGCCTTTCTCTAGTACAATATGATTATGAAAGAGTGATTTACAGGTTTTTTTAACACCTTAAAATTAACAACAATAAAGAGTCCCGCTAAAATATTGAGATGTGGTATAGAATTATCGAATTTGTGGAATGTGTTGATAAAGAATAATCATTATATTTCTTTAGTATTCGTGGAATATCCAATTTTTATTAATTTAATAGTTGGAAAATATTGCGTATAAGTCTTTGGAACAAAATTGATAGAAAATTCGTTGAAATTTTTCTGTTAGAACTCGTAGGTAAGGGCTGAAAACTAAACTAAAGCAATTTGAAAACTAAAATCTATCAAGAACGAAATTGAAAAGAGAAATGAAAGTAAGGAATAAAAAATCATTAAAAATTCAGTTTGAATTAAGTTTCGAGTTCCTTAAGATGGTTTTATCTCTACCAACAATAGGGAAGGCCCATGTAATTTTTTATTCTTTGAAATAATTGAGTTCGACTTCAGAAATCTCAAACGATGAAAAAACCTTTTTTCAAAATAAGGATGTATACCCGGGATGACACAGCATGTCATACCACCCGTGAAGGACTACGCTGTTAAATGATTCCATGAAAATCAAATAATAAATGAGAAAGTACTATTCTGATCATTTCCATATTGATTTCAATTTAAGAGCCACCGGTAGTTTGACAACGGCGGTAGCAGAAATTTGGGAAGCTATCCTGGAATGCCATCGGAAAACAAATCCACATGTTTCTAGAAACATCTGGATTTGTTTTCCAATGACAGTTCAGGATAGCTATTTTCTGCTACGGCAGTTGTCAGTTGATTGGTCAAACCACCAACAATTAAATAAAAACTTGGCAAGTTGACTTGGGTGTCACACCAATAGGTGGTTCCACTTATGTCTCGCTTGCTTTTACGCAGTTATTTTCATCAAGTACTTTTCTTGGTTATTCACAATTCGTCTTAAATCAAGGACCACCTACCCAGTACTAATGAGGCCCAACAGGCTGAAACAGCTGTCTACCAGTGGCTCTTAAATTGAAATTAATATGGGAATGATCAGAATAATACTTATCACAATAATAATTCATTTGGAGAAGAGAAAACTTCAACAAACTTTCAATGCAACTTATCGAACCATCATTAGTCACCTGTGATCAAGATATGATTTATCTTTTTGGGATTCTCGTATTGCAATTGCCATGCAATACAACGATGTCATTGTCACATTTAAAATAGTTATTGAAAATATTGCTATAACCATGGTCTCTCCACCATGTGCACAGTTGTCTGTTGAATCTACAGTTCAGGGTCTGAATCAGATGAGGATACTCATAACCCACCAAAGTGTAGAAGTCCTGGTCTCCAAGATGGCCCCTGAACCTGCAAATCCAAAATTATATATAAAAATTCATTGAAGAAACTAAAATCAGAATTTTATCAAATATAAACTCATTAGAAATGTCAATACTTCTCTAGTTTTTATTGTAGAGGAAACCAAATTGTTTAACCTGTAAATAATATAAATTACAAAACCTACAGGAAGACTATAAATGAAATTTCACAGTAACTCTTGGCTTTATTATTAGAAATGGAGTAGGATAATTAAAATTGAGGCCTTCTGTTAAAATGAACATGGTCATCCATGGCAGAATTCTCTTAGAGTACAGTAAAACTTGTCAACAAGGTGATATTTGAGTTTTCCTTCAACATGTCATAACTTTCAGCCGCTCTGACAATAATAGGCACTTAAATAAATATTTTCAAACCATTGTGAATCACATAACTTTTTATCAGTGCCAAGTTTGGTTTTGGGATTCTAAGCTGATCAACCTATATTGTAATATACCTATACTCTACTACCATCGATGTATTTGAACCTTTTTTGTGAAATAAACTTGCTGTTTCCAGAATAAATATCGGCACCAGAGTTGATACTTTATATTTCTTGAATAAATATCTACAGAAATCTGTTCAATTTGCTTTGTAAATATATCTAACTGCCCTATGTTGTATTCTAAAAATGACATTAAACATCTGAGTCGTGCATGTACCCCAGAATACTATTCCATTTCTTAAATTTCTGTTAACCCTGACTTCGTTAACATACACTTCAGATTTTCTGTGTCTTCCAGATTTTCTAACAGCAATAAGTTCTCGTATATTTGTATAGCTGTGATTTATAAAAAACAAAACAAACAAATTCTCTTTACAGAGGCGTATCATTGCTTGTGTTCCAATGCTGTTGGCGTTTGGCATTTTCTGAATAATTTGTGTTATGTCATCGCCTAACAAAAATACACGATGTGATACAGGATTACCAAAACCTTTAGATGCTCATCTAATAAAATCATTGAAAAAACAATATACGATTGTTACAAAAGCAATCAGATTCCTACAACTGAAATCATAAGGAAGAAATTGAATACTTCCAGCCATAAGAGCAGCTTTTTAGAAGCAGCAGAACCTCAGATCAAATATACTGAAAAATACTTTTTTCTACATCAAAACTTTGATATGGTTTCTACCGTCAAACATCAGACTAGGAAGCTAATCACCGTGAAAATAATCATTAGATGTTATCATCTCCCGTTGATGCCATAACAGTTACTGAGATGTGTATCGAAATATTTTTTTACAGTTCTAAAGTTAAGAAGGTGAAAACTTTGAGAGAATATTTCATCTTGAAAATCCAACCTATATCATCATCATTATCTGAATTGAGTTTTTCATATTCTGTTCTGAATGTGTAAACTCCTTTGAGCATTTTCTATAATATCCAACTAAGCAAAGTATTTCAAAAATAATTATATAATCTTCTACAAAAATAAGAATCAACTATAAAACTCCTATAGTTGAAATAAGAAAATAAACTACTCATGAATTATTAACCAAACATTTTAATATATTTTGTATAGCTATTGCCATAACTTCCACTGCATATAGGTACTTCAGTTTATAAGTTTTCCCAGATTTTCAAACAGCAAAAAGTTCTCATGTATTTGATTTATAAGAATATTGTTTCTCACATTATAAAAATAGTTAATCTGATTGACTGAACAGTATTTTTGCAGTATGTTTTCGAAAAATTATTTGAGGTGATTCTTTAAATTGACAATTTGTTTTCAATTATGAACTAATTTGAATAAATGAGACAGTAACTGTTGAATGAAGACGATGGTAACAAATTAGTGGAAACCGCACCTAAATGGGTGAAGCCAGATAAGTAGACAAATATGAGTATCAACTATTTTGTTTGTCATTTATAATATATCTACCTTCCACAAGTTGTATTATTTAAGGGAATGAACCAACATGTACATTCTTCGAAGGTGAAGCTAAGTAAAACTTTCTTGACTGACTTTTTTGTAAAATTGCTGCCAACGAATAAGAGATACGGAATGGAATAATGGGAAAGTTAGTTAGTCAAAAAGAAAGGTTTCAGCTTTCTACTTCTCCATCTTGATAGAAAAAAATGTAGGAATCGAGATAGAGAAATGGAAAGCCAAACCTTTCGTTCCCAAAAATAACCTCTTCTGAAAATATACCCCTTTCAGTTTATTCAAAAAGTTTTCAAAAAAACAGGCATGAGTTGTTAAAAAGCGTACTGACCATTTGGCTTTTTAATCTCTGAAAAAATATGTACTTACTCATCAAATTCGTTGAACAACAGACCTATATCTTTTTTAAAATACAGATCACAATCAAGTAATATTGCTATGTTTTGATTCAATGGTGCAATTCTATACAATCCCAAAGAAATGTAAAATAAGGCATCGCTGTAGTAAGTACCTGAAAAAAATCAAAGTATAAAAATCATTTTATTCTTTTGAAAATATCCTACACACCTGGTTTTGAACTGAAATGGGGTGTCATAACTTCAACAATATCTTGTATTTTTTTAGCACTTTCTTCGATGTCATAGAAGGAATATACAATAGTCTTATTTCCGTACACCACATCGGCAATTTGATTTTCTGCAATTCCTTGAGAAACCCTGTCGACTATAATATTGAATTTAAGTGGTACAGAGCTGACATTCAACAGGTTGTGTACAAGATCTCGGAATTTATAAATGAGTGTGGAAGCATTTGTCACTTTAGTGAAAATCAACCAGACGTTGTACTCCTTAGTGTTTTTTGGTGAGGAAGAGGTGAATTTTAGATTTCCTATTTGTCTTCTTGGAATTTTTCTCATGTGTCTTTGGTGATTATTGCTGTCTTCTGTTGAAAATGCATAATAGAACAATGTTATCAGACCAATAATTATACAGATATTGAGAAAGGTGTTCACAGATCTGGTTTTCCACATAACTGCACATTTTTTCAGTGAATATATATTCACATTAGGGCATCTTGAACTGAAGACGACTTTCGAGATTATTGACACTCATGTTCTATTGTTTGAAGAAGTAAAACACTCCCATTTTTCACCACCGCTGAACAAATAGTGTAATACGGAACCTGATCTCCAAGAAAGGTTAATTTTCAACAACCTGTTTTGCTTTTATGCTCCTGGCAATCTACTATTTTATTGACATGTGTTTTTGTTTTGTTGCTTAGGCAACACATATTACAACTTTGAAACATCATTTACAATATTAGTAGTTCTCTTCGACAAAAGTAGATGGCAGGACGGATTATAATAATAATAATAGAATTTATTCATCAATCAAAGGTTATACAAGGCATTATACATAATACAGACATGCATAACACTTATCAGGCTAGTCAAGAAAGAAAATAAGGTAATCTACAAATAAATGGTTAAGATAGTATAAGTACCTATAGTCGCGAAACAAACCAGAAAAATTGTACATACAATAGTCAATCTCACAATTATGAGATATCACGAATTATAAAATTCTTCAACATTATAAAATACTTTTTCAAAAAAAAATGTTTCAATTTATTTTTGAATAGAATGTAATTAAGTCGTGGCCGTTGCAAGACGAAAGAAAGCAACCATTGTTTCAAGATGATTATTTGTTCAGCAGTTGAGTCCTAATGAAATAATTATTATTTAAAATACATATTATGTTAAGTTATTATATTTATTGGATTTAACCCGAACTGTACTACAAAGTGGTGCGTGTTACTTAACCTCCTATCAAAAGTGACAAATTAGGCATCGCTAAAGTTAGAGGATAGATGCTGAGAAACCCAGGTGTTCAAAACCGATTCGCTTTTGTTTTGTCAAAATCTCTCGACGCGAGAAATGAGATTAATCCAATTTTGTGTAGTCGAAGTAAACAATATTGTGCACGCTCAAAGTTGGCGGCACTCTCAAAGGCCAAAAAAACCAATACATAGAAATGAACCAGCAGCGAACTAGTCCACGTGGACTGTAGACTTGGCGGTTCGTATTGGATGATTTTTACTAACCGAGTTCTATGATTGGCTGAAGAGTCATAAAATTAAATTTGAAGTCATGTTACGGGGGCGAATAGAATGGGATAGTTATCGCCGTTGTGTCGTCAATGTTCAGTTCAGGAACTGATCGCGATTTGAGTGTTGAATTTCGATATTGGTGCAGTTATAATTACTTAAAATTTTTGTTATCCATTTAAAATGTGTCGTCCTTCGACAAGTACTAATAGTAATAATGAGTGTGATAACAACGCAGACTTTTTCCAGTGTAGTGATTACAATAGCGATGGTGAACAATGCGAAAAAAAGATACCAGTGAATAAGATTCGAATGCATTTGAATATTGAAATACAGAGAATATGTTTCAATGTATATGATAACCTACATCTCAAGTTTGGTTTCGAGGGAAACAAACTATTACAAGCAACATCAGATTTGACCGAAATTCCTTTCTCAACTGTACCTAAAATAGTCAAAAACAAACCTTACGAACGCACGATGTGATACAGGATTACCAAAACCTTTAGATGCTCATCTAATAAAATCATTGAAAAAACAATATACGATTGTTACAAAAGCAATGAGATTCCTACAACTGAAATCATAAGGAAGAAATTGAATACTTCCAGCCATAACGTGAGCTGCTGTGACAAAACTCTTCAGAATTAAATAAAGAAACTGGGATTTAGATTTAAAATAATAAACAAACGTCAAGCAGTTATGGCAACAGAAGAATAGTGGTATTGCGTAACAAATACTTAGAACAAATAACTAAATAAGGATAAGAACAACGGCAAATTTTCTATTTGGACGAAACTTATTATGACACACGACACAGTTACGGAAGGGTGGACTGATGGTTCGAATATGTATATGCCTAACATGCCTGCAAACAAAGGATCGCGACTAATCATTGTGCATTGCGGAGAACATATAGAAAATAGACAGAACGCGATTGACAGGATTTTTACTGAAAATAGCTCTTTGGAGGAAACATTAGGGAAATACGGTCAAATTATTAGCTTTGCAACAACAACGTAGTTCTTACGGTTCTAGTATCTAGGATTGTAGATTCATTTCAATGATTTTCACCATATTCTCTTCGAAAAAGTTCACCTGATCACTTCATTTGTTTTCTTTGACAGTGATCGATCTCTGTTACATACAGAATTGTCAAAATTGTCGAAACTCAAAAATTAATGCAAAGGAAATTGAAGGAATGGGATATTGGATATCCATTGTCTTTACTTTGAAATAATTTATTGACAACAATTCTATTTACGAAAATAAAAATTTATACTATCAACACAACAATTCCTTTCGAAATCGTTTATACTACGGGAATCGATACACTTTCACCCTTTTATTTCCTGTGGTCAAACAAAAATTAATTGTCAATTTTCAATCTTCGACTGGCATGAAATATTCATGCCAGTCGAACTTTCATTTTCATAGCAGAAAACTTATACATTATTCATGCATCTAAACTATCCAACTTTCGCGCCAAGGTTTGTTTGTACAAACTCCAGGTCCTCTCCACCAATCGTTGATATCTTCGTAATGTCGGTGTTCTAAAGGAGCATGCATCATGGCGCATAATCGGCACCAAAAGAAAGTGTTGATGAACTCTCCCGTGCCCTTCCATTTAAAATAGGAGTTGTACAGAGCGTTGTCTTTGTCGAGTCTGTGCAAATATGAAGCCAGTTCTTGCGGACCGGCAAAATCATCTACGTGAATATAGGAACCTAAAACAGACAACAATGTTCATTGAAATCGGTCTTTGCAATCTAAAGTAGGGTCCACACTATGCCGCGGTAGGCCGGGCGGGCTGATCCGGGCGGCCTAAGCCGCGTTGATGTAGACGCCTCGGGCGGCTTTGCCGGGTTAGAAAATGCCGGTCCGGGCCGTGCCGATCCCAACCCGCATAAAGTAGGTACAGATCAAATGAAGTCGAGCCGAGCCGAACAAAAATATAGAGTGGGGACGTGCCGAGCGGCACCGAGCGGCTTCAGTTACAATTAAACATCCGACCGAACTAGACGAATTATTTTATTTTCGACTCAGTTTGTTTCAGTAGGGTTTTTTATTAAGTGATGGAGTGGAATGACGAACAAGTTTTAGTGTTAATAGACTTATATAGAGAACGTCGTTTTCTATGGGATAGTTCAGATTCCCAACATAAATTAAAAACCAAAGACACGACAGTCTCACAGATATTGATGTGTCTTTTGTGGAGTGAATGAAAATGAAATTGAGCGCAAATGGAAAAATTTAACCAGCCATTTTTGGAGGGAAAAAAAGAAAGAAGCTGAAAAGAAAAGAACAGGGAGTGGCGCTCCCCTACTTCTAAAAAGTACTCTTCAACGAAGTCACCAGTCTTGGTGTTGAAACTAAATAATGTAGGTAGAAATAACCCGTTCGGCTTCGTTTTCGGTGTGGACGTCGTGCCAGCCTGAACGTACCCGCCTGGCTCGGCCCACCCGGGTCAACCCGCCCGGCCTACCGCGGCATAGTGTGGACCCTGCTTAACGAAACAACTTTTTCAGATACCATATTCAATTCAAAAAAGTAATGTTCTTGAAGAACTTTTCGCCAACCAAATTGTCATATCAGTAGACGATCCAGAGCAAACACTGCATTGGCGATTTAACGTGTGTCGACAAAAGAGTTGACGACAAAATCTCTTGGATTTGAAAAATTATGTCGGTATTATAATAGAAAAGTTGTAAATGAAAAAATGTGTATTTCTTCTGTTCAAACTATCAGTTGAATCAGTCACTGCTGAGACTTCGAGATCTAACTTTCCCTCTCACAGTCATAGGGACATACCACTGATGCTGTCTGCCGCAATAGCAGGCGAAACATTTGGTACTTTAGGTTCCATTCGAGCATTGCCTACTAGCCCGGATTTTGTTCTCTTCAATCGTGACTCCTGCCGTGAAACCTTAAGTTCTTATACCATAAATTAATGTTTATAATGCATTTCATTAGTTCGGACTTCCATTATCTAATATGATATGAATTGATTTGAAATCCCTGAAGGAATCTGTAAAAAATTACAAAAGATTAGCTGAAAAATAACAATTATAATAAGCAAAAAAACTGAAATTACAATGAAATAAAATACAAGCAACAATCAAATAACGAAAATATAAAACTATTAACACGAGATGAAAATTGAAAAAATTATGAAAATTAAAAGATTCCAAACCAAGTTACTTGACGACGTTTCCATTGTTAGTATCCACAATCGTCCTCGGGTCATAACTGGACTTCTTACTCCTCCGAGATTTAACTATTTATAGGTCATTCGATACTTTCACCTATCCCCTCTTCCCTCCCCGCTTCATCGGTTTTAGCGAAAGCTGACCGTTTGGCGGGAGTTGGTCGTCGTATTTCGCTTGATTAGAGGTTTCCATATGTTGCATATCTAAATCAGTATTCCTCCCTGTATATGATCTCAGCTTGGGACCACTCGATGTTGATGGGTCCAAATATGCTCTGCTATTCCTGATTTACTGATATTTCCTCGCTGTGTGTGTTTCTTGTGCTCGGCAATGCGAATTTTCAATGACCTCCTAGGTTCACCGCACTCACAGTGTATCAGGTAAATGCAATTCTTGGAATTGCAGTCCGCGTTTGGTGGCCTGGTTTTTGTGGGGCTGAGACGGATAGTGTTTCCGGATCTGAAGCAGCAGGTTCTGATGTGGCAGCATCAGCTGCCTGATGATTTCAGCTTGAGCCCACTTGATGTTATGTTGATGAGTCCAAACGTGCTCTGCTATTCCTGATTTGCTGGTTTCTTACGATGTGTATGTTTCTTGTGCTCAGCAATGCGAACTTTCAATAGCCTCTTAGTTTCACCGATGTATGATTCTCCGCATTCGCAGGGTATCCAGTAAATGCAATTCTTGGAATCGCAGTCAGCGTTTGTTGGCCTGGTTTTCGTGACGCTGCTACGGATAGTATTCTCAGATCAGAAGCAGGTTCTGATGTTATACTTGGACCCAATCCTTCTTATCCTCTGATGTAGGAAAGTACAAGTACTGGTTGTGGCGGATTCTCTTCCTTGTGGAGCTCTTGCTCCATTTCGTTTAAGGTCATTTTGATGATGCCTAGTTCCTTTTCGAGACCTTCCTTTGTATTACAGAGCCCGAAAGCACGGTTTAGTAGAGTCTTGATGATTCCTCTCTTAGTCCATTTATGGTGGTTGGATTCCTGGTTCAGATACTGTCCAGTGTGAGTGGGTTTTCAACATACAGATGTTTCCCATTTAGTGTCGGTCCTATTAACCAATTTGTCTAAGAATGGCAATTCGTAGTGGGCTTCCTTCTCCATTGTGAAAGAGATGGAAGGACTTACGTCCTTGCTTCAGAATGGTGTCTAGTTCTGCATTCCCATGGTTCCATATTATGAAGGTGTCGTCGACGTATCTCAACCAGACTCGGGGCTTCTTGTGGGCATCTTCAATGGCCAGAGTTTCAAACTACTCCATATAAATATTGACTATAACCGGTGAAAGTGGCGATCCCATTGGCAGATGTTATCACCCGAAGACGATTGTGGATACACAAAAGTTTTTTGATTGTTGCTTGTATTTTATTTCATTGTAATTTCAGTTTTTTGCTTACTATAATTGTTATTTTTCAGCTAATCTTTTGTAATTTTTTACAGATTCTTTCAGGGATTTCAAATCAATTTATATCATATTAGACAATGTCCGAACAAATGAAATGCACCACGAAACATTGTCAACCACCTTCAAAGAAATGTTTATAATATTGAAAACTTAAAGCAAATATTGACTTTGAGACCCTATATGAAAAATTACCTTTTCAGGCAGTTCTACTATAGTTCTCAATATTGTGATGAACGATTGAAAAGAAAGATTATCGTTCATTGCTGAGACTTCGTGATATAATTTTCGTCCTCACAGTAAACGCACATACCACTGATGATGTCTGTCGCAGTAGCAGACGAAACGTTTGATACTCTAGGTCACTCAATCATGACTCCGGCTGTAAAAGCCTATGTTCTTATATTGTAATGAACGTTTTCAGATATAAATAAATACAAAATTCATAATATTCAAATACGATTTAACTTATGTAATATATTTTATTGGAAAAAATAGTTAGTTAGTTAGCAGGTAGTAGTATCGAACACGCCTCAATAAGCAATTGTAGATTGCTGTTGAGGTTTTGTGCATTGAAAATCTTACAATACTTGAAATGTTACTCAAAGACGTTATCATGAATATTTATCAAGTATCCGCCAATGGGGAATGTTCCTCCTGACGAAAATCAAGTAGTTTTCATAAAAGAGCTCTAAACAAAACCTATAATCGCAATTTTATGATTTCAAGGTAATCTCCTAATGTCAGGTATTAACAACATACTTACTTTGTATCTAGACTATATTAATATATAAATATCTTTCTCATGCTTTCAGTTTGTATACGAGGGTGGTCCTAAAAGTACCCGGCCTGACCCAGAGATGGCGGTAGTTGTTTGGAAAATATCAATGTATTAGAAAGTACACATTCTATAAAGGATATCTTTCAAGTTTGAAGACGCTAACTTGTTCAGTATTTGTTTGGCAGCTTTCAATAGCGAACGTTTTCGGTGAATTTGTGAAAATGGAGAAAATTGGCCATCGTTATGTGGTACAATACTTCCATTTGGAAGGCCTCAGCCCAACCAATATGAAAGCTGGACTGGATTCTACTCTGGGTGAGTCTGCTTCTTCGTTTACAACAGCGAAATATTGGGTAGCAGAGTTTCAACGAGGCCGTACGAGCTGCCAATACGAGCACCGCAGTTGTCGACCAAAAGTGACAACTCCAGAAACGGTAAGAATAAAATCCACAAAGCGGTACTGAAAGTGCGCGAATTAGCAGACATAGTATGCATTTCAAAAAGTGCGGTACAAGGTGATTTATCTGAAAAGTTTGACATAAGAAACCTGTGTGCAAGGTGGATGCCGCGTTTGCTCAGACTCGAGCAAAAACAGTGTCATGAATATGTTTCAATTGAATGCTTAGCGAAGTGTCACAGCAACAAAGCAGAATTCTTGCATCATTTCATAACCATGGATCAAACATGGTTCCATCACTTTACACCTGAGACAAAAGAACAATCAAAACAGTGGACTCAACACAGAAAACCAACTCCAAAGAAAGCGTTTCATCGGTTTTTGGGATGCGCTGGGGATAATTTTCATTGATTATTTTATAAAAGGTAAAAACTATCAACGGCGAGTATTATGTGACCTAATTGCAACATTTGAGTGAAGAAATCAAGCAGAAACGGCCGTATTTGGCTAAGAAATAAGTCAAATCATCCAAATGAACAATTCGTTCAAGCCAGTCTCAACTCTCTACACTGTAGGTTAATGGACTGACACCTATCAGGAAAGAACTACTCCCCTGGCTGATACCACGAAGGGCGTTGGATTATATCCGACAAGTGTCAGTGCAGGATTCTTCACTGACGTTATTTCTGCATATGCTGTTGACGATACTACTGCCGAAATAGATTTTCAATTATTCGTACACACTTGCAGATCGGTTTCGGGCTGTTTGGCCACTCGTCAGTGCACGGTTGTGTCTATCATCAACATAGAGTCGATACTTTCCGATAATTGAAAATCGAATTCCTTCAGAGTAGGTATCATTGCTCGGACTAGGCTGAAGCGAATAACAATCAACAGGTTTATCATCGCCCTATCTGCAGATGGAGCGATGACAAACTTGTTGTTTGTTGCAATGTTGCTCTGTTGCACTACCTTGCACTGATGAGTGGCCAAGCCAAATATTCCGAAACCGGTCTGCAAGTGTGTTCCAATAATTGAAAATTAAATCTATTGCAGTAGTAGTATCGCCAACAGCATATAAAGGAATAACTTCAGTGAAGAATCCTGCACTGACTTCTGTCGAATATAATCCAAAGCCCTTCGTGGTATCATCCAGGGGAGTAGATGTTTTCTGATGGGTGTCAGTCCATTAACCTACAGTGTAGGAAGTTGAGACTAGCCCGTTTATAGACAGTCTTACTACCTCATGCACGATATTCGCCATATTAAGCCCTCTCAAACTTGAAAAAATGGCTCAGTGGTCAAATATCTTCCAACGACAAAAACGTGATGTCGGCAATTAATGGCTATTTTGAGGAGCAAGACAGTTCTTTCATCANCATTCATCTCTAAAGTGACCTACTCAAGATCCTACTGAATCCACATCCGGTACTTATGCAGTCCTAGGAGGATACCAGGCGCCATCGTCTGGGCTGTCAAAGACTTCAGGCAGTACCTTTTCGGAAATCAATTGAAATTATTTCCATACCAAGATCACTTACTTGATTTCCTCCATAAAAGGTAGCAGAATTGCTAGTTGGTGTTTGAAACTCGAGAAAAAAAGAATACGAAATCATTTACAACGACAAAATCGATTCCACGAAGCCTGTTACATGTTTAACATAAAATTCACCCCATCAGACACCATCATGAATGAAGATTCCAATAAATGAATAAATGAATAAATGAAGAACTCTAAATGAAAGAAGAAACTTTGGGAAACCTTGAAAACCTAGAAAACTTCGAAAATTAACCAAAATACTTTCTTGAACACAAATATAACTCAATAATTTTCTACATTTGTGAATTTGTATGAAACAGAAGCTCAGATTGACTATTCAAAAATCGAATATTCAATTTTTCAACTACTTGGCAAAGGAAACAAAACCATTACAATATTCTCTAGGCAGAATAACGAACTGACGACATTTTCGAAGATTGCGAATGTAGGAGCCTTGGAATGAACATTTTTTCAACCAAAACTAAAAATATTATAATGTTCCCAATGCCGTAGCGAAAAGAAAGGGAATCCAAATTTTCCCAACCCCACCAGCAAAATTTCCCAACTCTTTCCCAAGTCGAAAAAACAGGGAGGGAAGCTGCCCGTTGACCAAACATTTGACCTCATCCTGTTCAGAAGTTAAGATGACCTAGACCCTTCAAAAACGTATTATACCGAAATCAACCAGAACTTCCTGTCTTGGAATTTCAATGTTTTATAGTCGCTCAAAAAGATGTGGAATTAAAAGTGAGCAATAACGTTATTGTCACTCCGGATGAAGACCAAATTTCAATAATAGTTGATCAAAACCATAATGAAATAAGCAATTACGGATATCAATTACGCAAAGATATCAACGGAACAATTCGAAGAATACACAATTAATATAATTTTTTTCAGGTGAATTATAACATGCATAGCCGATTGAACAATAAGTAATGAAAGAGATAATAGCTTCTGTTGATGTTACAAGAATTCGTTCAGCTCCATCTAATGATCTTGACAGTTATTCAGTTATCTCAATAATTTTTGCTTAGGAAACATTTCTCTTTATATTATTCAATTTTTCAATAATGCTTATTCCATAAGATATATTAATATCTTTAACTTTCCCCTATGATAATTGAGAAAAAAATTTTTCATTTATGAATTTATGAAATCAATGGTATTTTCTATATCGGAATAAAAAAAANTTTAAAAGGGTGTTTTTGGTTTTTAAACTATATATATTTTTAATTGTACGTTCTCAGAGCTCCTGTATTTTCATTCTACTCAAACACAAATTGAAATGAATAAATTGAAAACACTTACATAAAAAGGAAGGCTTAACTTGAAGTATCACAGAGTTCTTTCATTTGAATTACTAAAGAGTGTAAAATACCTTCTGGCGCACTTCTTTGGTAGTCTTCAGGCCTCCCACCCATCACTATAGGAAGCACGCTCTTCCCCAGACCGTTTACAAAAAATTTCTCAGTCATGTAATCTCGGCAGTTCGAATTCTCAAAAGATAAGTAAAATTTGTAGTCTCGTTCTAGTATGTCGAAGCATTTTTTACTGGACTTAGGACACTGAAAACAAAAATTATTTTGTGTAAAATACCTGCTTGTGAAAAAATTTTATTTGATTTGATATCCAAAAAAGAATCTGGGAAGCGCATCTTCCAAGCCACACATTCTTTTTTTTTGTAATCTTTACAGTAGTTTAAGGAACAACATAAACATAGTCAAACATATTTAAAAGCATTATGACTATTTTTATGTGTTTCTTAAAGATTGTTATATTACTGAGGTACCTAATAAAGTGCATTTTCTTGTTGGTAATGGGCTCTAGTTTCGTCCTTTGACTAGGCAATGATCCATTATTCAACACCTTCGAACTAACCGCAGTTGACCACATACATTACTCAACACCTTCGAGGCCAGTCACAGATGAGCAAATTCATTACTTCAGTTTAATTTTCATTAGCGAGTGAGTGGTTGGTTTAAGCCGATTTCGGAACCTCCCCCACCACTCGACCGTGACATTCAATGACGTCACACGACTTTGAGGTATGAGCACGTCATGACTTTGAACATGAAGTTTGACTTTGAGTCGGAGTGGGGAAATGTTTTTTTTTTTAAAAATTGTTAATAATGTTTGAATTCAAGATGGTGAAAGCGAAAGAATTGTAAGTTGAAAACTGGGATATTTGAAGCTAAAAAAAGTATTAGGGTGGAAATAGTGAAGCGGTGCGAAACATAATTGATATGCTTGGGAAAGTTCTCTCCACACCCTCCACCACTCATTACGTCACATGATCTCGAGTTTGGCCTTGACGAACGACTGCAACGTACAACCTTGATTGTTGACCTTGAACTATAATATCTCATGACATGACCTTGCTGTGCGTTTTCCCACGTGCCACTGGTAGAGTCATCGCATGACCTTGAGCATGACCTNGTGCTTCGAATAATCTTTCAGTTTGACTCATGCAAAACATCGCACATGAACCAAACGGCATTTTATAAACTCCTGATTTATCGTGTGATTCATGTTCTGTGTCTTACATAGTTAAAACTGAATTTACTTTGAGGCATGTTTGAAAAAACTTAGAAACAGTACCAGAATGGAAAAATAAACTCAACGTATGCTATTGATTCTCTCACAGAGGGACATAAGTCCAATTATGAATTCAAAACTCTTCATTTCCAGAAGAAAAGTGTGAAACCTTCTGGAAAGTATCGAAATCAATAATACACAAATTCCCAATATGTAATGAACGATCAAATCGAGTTGAATAGTAACCCGTAACTTTATGATATTCTTACCTGATCATTAGGCTTTGTCACTCTAGAATTATCAATACGTAATATTTATTATTTTATTGACTAGTTTTCACATTATTTCACCAGTGAATTAGTAATTCCAGCTATATTCAAATACTTTTGTTTCTACTAGTTGAAAAATAATTTTTTACGCACATATCAGGTAGTTGAATCTAGACTCAAGTCAATTATCAGACCGGATCGTAGATCATAATAATGGTTTAAGAATGTGAAATGTTTCAATCTTAAAGTAGTCAAATCCAGCTTGAGGCTGCTTGTATAGTGAAACACGTGTCGTGTTTTTGTATATCTTTCATTATGAAAATCAAAATGAACAACTATCACCGAAAAGCAGCACCAGGTCCATACTTGAGTTTTATAGTGCTCGAAATAGTCAACCAGAACTTGACAAAAGTTTGATAGGTATAATTGGATCAAGCAAAAAATAGTCCGAAATAGTCTCGGACACTTGGTTAAACCAGAAAGCTTTCTGAGGAGACTACTGTGCCACCTATCGTATATATGAAGCGATAAAGGCGAGAAAATACTGTTGATCATGTCCATTTTGTTATGTAGCATATCCTTGTAGTCAGTTTAAACGATATCTAACGTCAATCATCAATCATTGAAATTAAATAAATAAAAAACATCCTAGAAAATAACCCAAAATAAAATTTCCACATGAATGCGCATGAGCAACTGAAATAGTTCTCAATAGTTCAGTCCCGAGAGCAAGAACGATTCGGGACGGTTCAAGACAGTTAAGGCTCATTTCGCAATCGAAACCAGAACAGAGGATTCATCAATCCAAACTTATTCTCAATAAACCAGAAGCTCTATATCAACTGCACATGACCCTGACGTCCTAGAACCTGAATTTCGTAGAACCAGAACAAACCTTTTATACTTCACTTCAGCGCGCCTATGTAGTTGATTGGCCAATAATATTTCTTAAAGAACCGGTTTCATTATATTTTCAGTTCAGTCAACTCTGTCAGTACTGTAATATCATTGAGATATTCATAATTTTTCAAACCTCACTATTTCTCCAAGTTGAAAAAATTAACGTGCTGAACACTAGGAAAGTCAAAACTCATGTCGATAAATCAAGAAAATCATGAAAGTACATAACTTACTTCCAAAGAACCACAAGCACCATAAATATCCACAGTAATGTATTTACCAAGCTCTTTGGCATAAGTTAATCTATCGTTTTTTGCAGCACAGTTCGACACAAACCAAGCCACTTTTTTCGTTTTGTTTGCAGCGTAATCTCGATTTTGAAGTTTTTTGTGTACCTGTAAAATAATAAAATATTAGCAGAATATAGGAACATAGACTTTCAAGGCTGGAATTATGATCAAAAAAAACAAAATTAGGGCTGATAGGCGGTGGTCGAATGGAACCTGAAGAACCAAATGTTTTGTCTGCTTCTGTGGTTGTGCCTGTCACTTTGAGACATAACCTTAGTCATCGCAATCAACGCACATACCACTGATGATGTCTACCGCAGTAGCCAGGATGTTGTTCTCTTATGAGCAGCAATTATGAGAATGCACTTCTCATTCTATAATAAACATTGAATGCGTTAGGTACCTAGTATGAATTGCAATGGGTGAATGGATTCAATTTATGTTTGAAGGTGGTTGACAATTTACATTACATTTTGATATTTCTGAGGTAAACAATGAAATTAGAATATAATATGTACTTAGAACAATAATAAATTCGTAACTGTATGAGATAGTTTTGAAACTATTGTTTTTTTATAAAAGGCACAATGTTGTTGTAAATCATGCCCTAAAGAAAATAACGCCGGCCGCCACTGGTAGCCATAAACCAATTGTGACGTGGCGAAGAGCGCGCTTAGTTCGATTGAAATTTCGCAGATATTCTACCGACTTCGATGGAATTGCTAGGAATTTTCCAGCACCTTCGATTTCCAAATATAAGCTCCTTCAACTCGCCCATCGAGACAGTCAAATGAAGGTTTCAGTGCGGTACACTAAGCGATCTAGTAAGGTGATAGACATTCTAATAATAGTTACAGTTTCAGTTGAAGTGTTTATTGTATTTAAAGTGAAATAAAATTAATTTTGATTATTGTTCATCCCCTACTGGAAAAAACGTAACATTTGGTGTCGGAAGAGGAATAATTAACTGAAAATTTACTGTTTTATGGTGAAAACAAGGAGTGCTATTTACGACGAGATGGAAGAGCTTAACGAAATGTTCGAGGCTTTGCAAGCGGGCCTGGCGGAGAATAAAAAATGCAGAAGAGAGGAAGATGAATGAAGGAGGGAGGAAGAACGACTACGGCTAAAGGAAGATCGTAAATTACTACTAGGTACTACTAGGTATTTTGGAAAAACAAGAAAAAACAGATAGATTCCTATCTGTAAATTATTGGTAAATATTCAGAAGAAACAAGAAAAAGACAATAAGATGTACCTTCATTTATTTGAAGATTTGAAATCTTCCCAAGTGAGTAAAGGGTAGGTACAGGAATTTATTCAGAAAAAATTTGGGGAAGTATTCCAGGAAACGGAGGAGGGATTGGAAAAAATGTCGATTAGAAGGGGTTGAAAGGAAATTTGAAGAAGAGTTTGAAGGAGTCGGATGGAAATTTGAAGGAGTAACTTCGGAAAAGAGTTCGTGAGAGGTACTTTTGGGTCAATTGCTTTCGAAAAGACCATACATTTTGTTTTTTCTGAAGTTGCAGTCCTGCACATTTGGATAATGTGATACCTATTATTCAACAAGTTTTGTGATTTATTTTGCATTCATTGAGATAGTGATCTGGCAATAAAATGTTGAAATTCGCTCGCAGTAATATAGAAAGATCCATCTTTCAAGCTAACACAACGTAGGTACATTCTTAGATACATTTACTCTATTCGTTATCCAATTAATAACTATTTATCGATATCCACTTCAAAAATATTGTTACGTTTTTCGCGTGGGTTTGACAATAATTGACTTCTCTGTACGAATAAACTCAACTTCATTTTTCTGCTACACTGACAATTCAACATAAACAGTTTTACTGAAACTTCAGACTAATACTCAAATGTCTATCGCCTTATTAGATCACTTCGTAGCTCACTTTCAACTAGACTTCCCAGATCTGCCTGTTGGTAGTGTTTATATATCGTAATGAAGGTCTCTGGAAGCCGATAGGAAAGTCTCTTGAAGCGACGGGACACCTATAACGATCCAGAAACGGAAGTCGAGTTGAGCGTGACCTTGGCAAAGTCACGATCAATTGACGAAGACCAGCGGCGGCCGAAGTTATTTTTTCAGGGGATAATCTACAACAATATCCATATCATAATTCAACCAGCAATCTCAAATCTGATTCAAATTGATATTTTTTCAAAAGAGTTTGAAATATATGATATAAAATACGTACTGTAGGTTTATAATAGGCCCATCTCTCGTAAGGAGCAACAATATCGCTATCCCTGCGGTAGGTTGCAGTCCAGTTAATCTGGTCTATAAACTTGATATTTGCAGTATGATATGGACTCTCCAAATGGTAAATGATCCAAACCTGAATGAAAATTTCAAAATAATTCCACACATAATACAAAAAACATAGATTTTTATTTATGTATAGGTAGCACTGCTAAGTGAAGATGATGTAGAGCAATAATATAAATACACGGAACTATTCTAACATAATTGCAATGAGTTGTTCCTTCACCATTTATATATTTTATAACAATTTTAAGATAATGAAGTCACAGTATTCGGTATTATGGAACCCTTCAACTCCACATTCATTCCAATGCTCAGTTAGTTTAGTTACTATCGCGAAACTAATCTTTTCATTAATGATCATAACTTCAATATTTTTTTGATTGAATCGGCCGTTACTTGATGAAGATCCATAGCAATTTCAAAAACTACACCTCAACGATTTGATCTCCACAAACTTTATTTGAAAAATATAGCACAACATGTTTCGCTAAGACATTAGCTTTTTCAAGTGATTTGAAAATCACAAGACATTAGCTTTTTCAATTGATTTGATCAAATCGTTGAGGTGTAGTTTTTGAAATAACTTCAATATGCTTTTCAATTTAAATGATTCTTGACCAAAAAATAACTGATGTGTTTTTACATTTATTTCAAAATAATGTGATTTTAGGGATTCAATCACCTGTTTTTAGTCGTAATTTATACTCAAGTTGACTAGGGAAAGGAAGTGCAATCAAAAGATTAGCTTGTATATACCTAATAAGTGCAAAAGAATGTGTCGAACTGCCGAAATGAAATTAATCTCAAGCTCAGGTCATTAGGAACATTGGCTGTAAGACAAGCAATCAAAATTCAATATGGACGAGAAATCATCAATATCAGTTTTGAGGTATCTGGTATCTGTAGAATAGGGAGGGTGAGTGTAGACTCACAGCACTTAAGCCACATGTGACCCATTGCATCGATGACCGAGGATTTCTCCTCCTAGGTCATCGTCCATCCTGTCCTTTCCAGGAAGGTGAACAGGTTACTAGAAGACATATCTTTTTTATTGACAGGTGTAGGCCAAGGCCTTGGCAACCTTAAAGTGTCTCACGGTGGCCTCCGCGAAGGTTTTGGAAGGTGCAGCGATATTACTGTCATTGCGCGGCTTCTTCAACTTTCTTGGGGTTCTCTCCGTGAAGGTGCACAAGTGACGAAGCTTTCCTGCAGGGGCAGCCGGTTTCTTGCCTTCATTCAAGGCGGAGCTCTTGGCGCCCGCCGCAGGAAGTGCCTTGCTGTTGAAGGTGATCTGCTATGTCCAACCTCATTCCATTTCTGTTCATTCCCAGTCACCGCTACCCATTTATTTTCAATAATTTCAACAAGTATTGAACCTACTTTTTCTTACAGATCTAAAATTTTATGCAGCAAGAATTTACAAAATTTTTGAATCTATTTAATTTATGTTGGGTTTGATTTTTCTTATAACATTTTTTTCTAATAGACGAGTTACATGTTCTGAAAAGTTGGAGTCAGTGAGGTAAACCAATTCATTCTGTCAGTATCTCATAAATCAAATTGATTTCATTTACTCCGCTGATCTGTTCTCATCATTTATTTTCCCTGCTAGAATAATTACTGTGTAATAATCATTAATTTATTTACATGTTTTTATTAAAAACCAAATAATAGATGAATATATTCCTTTGTTTGTTTCAGGTAAAATCACTAATGTAATTGGAATATGAAATGGTTGCAACTTGTTTTTATAGAACCTTTTATAGTGGAAATCTTACAGTAAACTGCATCAATAATTTTTAATATACGCTGTCTTTTCAAAAAATGACGTGAATTTCAATTTTTCTCAAAAAATATTTATTAATTCATCAGTTTCTATTTTATCCCATCCAAAGTAGTTCTCCTCAGATATAATATACTTGTGACAGCGTTTTCTTTTCAACCCTCGAAGAAGTTCTGATATGCACTTTTTGGTATGTCCTTGATCTTTCTCAGCGACCCAGTTTTTATCTCCTCAATCGTCGCAAAATGCCGTCCTTTCATGGGTTTCTTCGATATTGGGAACAGAAAAAAGTGGCAGGGGTTCAAATCTGGTGATTACGGTGTTGTTTTTGGCCAAAAAATTACGAACAAGCAATGACGAGTGAGCATTGTCGTAATTGCCGTTGACGATATTAAACAATTTCTGAGCGATACTCATGCCCAAAATATTCGAGAAAATTGCATAGTATGAGGAAACAGATATGCTGATATTCTCAGCAACTCCTTTCTTTGATAGTAATTCGACGATTGTCCATAACAATTCAACTAACTTTCTCAATATTTTCAATAGTTGTTGATGTGCTGGGCGAGCGTCGTCATTCACATCTTCTCGACCTTCTCCGAAAAGCTTATACGGCTTGTAAACTTTTTTTATGACTCAGAGTACAATCACCGTATGTCACTGTCAACATTTCAAGTGTTTTTGATTGTGTGTTCGATTCCGTGTTAGGAATCACATATAAAAAGGTAAGACCTCGTTAGTCCTTAGCTCGCACAAATTTCGACTTCTGAAGGTTGTACATATTTTTAAAGTCAATTCCATTTTTCACACAAAATTTGGTGCAAATTGTTTATCCATTATCCATTTCCGATGGCAGAAAATCGCCGAACACGCAAAACATGCTTCTCACCAACAAACTAAACATATTGAAACTGTGAACATATGTTCGAGACAAATGTTCCAATTTAAAAAAATTGAAAAAATCGCTAATCGAATGTACGTTGCCCTCGAAATTTGAACACTCACCATATTTCTTGAACAGTCCACGTATATTTTCCATCAAGTATTGACCATATCTATTGAATACTAATTTTTGACAGCTCACCTACTCAAGTTATTGAGTCCTGTTCACAACCTAAGGTACAATTCATCAAAATCACAGATCTCTCTCTCTGTTTTGGATGGTCGTTGCTTCCTAACTTCAGGCGAATATGACCAATGCTCCTCCTGTTGGTTAACAGGAGCTTCGTCGGGGGGCGCAGCGGTCTTGCACGAAGCAATGCTGCTACCCATTTTTTTTCTTGTTATAATAAAAAACAATAGGTTTTTTTAACATAAAACAATTCGAATTTTTGCAGTCGCTTCCTGCTTGGGAGACCTTTTGGTATTTTTCCACATATATAACCCCCTTTGAGTGGTTATCCGAACCACCCTGGCCTGGATACCGGCGTGAATAAAGGGGGCCACCTATTCATCACTTTTTTAGACACTCCACATTTCAATTTTAGCACAACACAACACAAAAAGGAGCCCCAAGATAGCACATGGCATCCGCATACCTTTATTGTGGACGTCCACTACCACGGCCACCACGGAACTCCCATCAAAATCACAGATGATGAATATAGAAAGATATCAACACGTCACCAGTATTGTGAATATCTGTTTCAAGAAATACTTTCATNCTAAGAATATTATAAGATATTCCAAGAATATTCCCAAGGAATATTCTTAAAATATATCAAAGGTTCGCCAGGAGCACTTCCAGGGAATATTCTCCAGAAGATATATATATCCATGGCATATTCATAGCATAATACAATATCCTTAAATGTATATTCATGAAATATACCTGGAATATCTATTGCTATGTGGGATAATAAAGTTGGGAGATATTACTCTTTTTATATTTATCGCAATTTTAACTATTGCAATGTTGTTTACTTAGTCATTTGGTTTGTAAATTTTTGTAATATTCGTGATATTCGATGATATCCATGTTATCGTCGGAACTTTTTTTGTATACATTAGATCACACTATTCTCAATGAATATTTTATCTGGTCTGATTAGATATCCATTTTTCCTAAGGAAATATGCACCTGGCTGTTATAAATTAGTGAATGGATTCTTTTACATAATATTAGTTAGTTAGTTAAGCGATTTTCGTCAATTTTTCTTTACGAATTCAAAGTGAATTAAAGCGCTGTCGAAAAATTAACCAGGCATGACGTTGGTTTGCAAAATGTCGTCCGGATATTTTGACCTCTAAGATGAGCACCTTCAGTACGAGGATTTGAGAACCCTGGCGGAGACTTTATATCACAAACTGTATAGTTTAAGAGTTCAAGTAAACGGTTTAGTGCAACCTACCTACCAATAATATAGTTAGGGAGCTTACTTATTTTTATTATTCAATAATCATTTCTGATTATATAAAAATCGAAATAACTATTCGGAACCCATCTTTTACTTCCTCCGCAATGCAAAATGATTACTCGCGATCCTTTGTTTGCAGGCTTGTTAGGCGTACACATTCTCGACCCATCAGTCCACCCTTTCGTAACTGTGTCGTGAGTGTCATACCAAGTTTCGTCCAAATAGAAAATTTGCCGTTGTTCTTGTCTATATTTAGTTATTTGTTCTAAGTATTTGTTACGCAATTCCACTATTCTCCTGCTTTCCATAACTGCTTGACGTTTGTTTATTATTTTAAATCTGAATCCTAGTTTATTTATCCAATTCTGAAAAGTTTTGTCACAGCAGCTCACGTTATGGCCGGAAGTATTCAATTTCTTCAGTCTGATTTCAGTTATAGGAATCTCATTGCTTTCGTAACAGTCGTATACCTATTGTTTTTTTCAATGATTTCATTAGATAAACATCTAAAGGTTTTGGTAATCCCATATTACATCGCGTCTTGTGTTTATAAGTTTTGTTCTTGACTATCTTACGTACAGTTTAGAAAGGAATTTCAGTCAAATCTGATGTGTGTTTCCCTCGAAACCAAACTTGAGATGTACATTCTTATATACATCGAAACATACTCTGTGTTTCATTTTTTAGATGCATCTGAATCTTATTCACTGGTATCTCTTTTTCGCATTGTTCACCATCGCTATTGGAATCACTATACAGAAAAAAGTCTGCGTTATCACACTCGTTATTTAAACAGATAACAAAAATTTTAAGCAATTATAACTGTACGAATTTCGAATTTCAACACTCAAATCTCGATCAGTTCCTGAACTGAACATTGACAACATGATGGCTATAACCATCCTCGCATTCTATTCGTCACATGACTTGAAATTTAATTTTATGACTCTTCAGGCAATCATAAAACTCGGCTAGTAAAAATTATCCAATACTAAACACCAATTCTTCAGTCCACGTGAACTAGATGGCAGCGGGACGGAATTTACTCGGCGGTAGCGGCGTAGCGGATTTGAACATAAAGTAGCGGAATTTTCTACAAATAATTAATAATGAAAAAATACTCACACATACATCACTCGAAGCTGACACTTGAATAATTGAATGCACAGTCAATACGTTATAGTCATAGTGATGATGCCATTTGGTTATTATATGATGAAAAAAATGGAAGATAGTTCATCTGATTATAGCTTGAGCGAAAAAGCTACCGCAGTTGAAATTGACGGGAACGATCATGTTCAAAAAATACAAAAAGTCTCGAAAACAAACTTGAAAACAAACTGATTCCAACTTGAAAGGATGGATTGAACCTGTCGTGAATGATCGTTCAAGAGCTCAGTATGACTATACGTACGAACAAATTGATATTTATTTTTACTTCCAAAATCATTTCAAGCTAAAAAATATTAGTTCGAGACGACAGCTTTCAAAAACTAAGTGCTGTAGATTTAGAAAATTAGAAACCATCTACTAGTTGCGCGGTTGAAAATTAGCATAATCCTGATTCTTGACATTAGTGAGAGTTCGGTTTTGTGGTATCTGAAGGATACACGTAAGTTGTGTAGTATTTAATTTTGGATAGAGTACATGCGCAAACTGATTTCGTCAGATATACAAGCGTAGCGGAAAATGAAGCAGTGTAGTGGAATTTTGGTTCATGTGTAGCGACTTTATGGTTCATTCAGTTGGCAACACATGCACAATACAGTTCACTTCGACTATAGATGGGATGGTGGAAGAACTGGGCGTCAGCTCCCATGCGGTTTTTTATGGTTTCAAACGTATTGTTGAGGTCGAAAAGCTCGAAAAGTGGGTGTCACACAATTTGAACGAGTGACAGAAATTGTTACGTTTCGAAGTCTGTTCTTCTTTGCTTTTGCACAACCAAAACGATCCTTTTTTGGATCGGATCGTCACGTGTGATGAAAAGTGGATCCTCTACGACAACAGATGTTCAGGACAGTGGTTGGAGACCGATTAGCCACCCAGGCACTTCCCAAACGCGAAAACCCACCAAAAAAGGCCATGGTTACTGTAAGGTAGGTGTGCAACCATGCCAAACCATCACAGAAAAATCATCTTGCGAGAAAATCGACGGAATGTACCAAAAATTGCGTCAGTAGCAGACGGCACCGGTCAATAAAAGAGGTCCGATCCTGCTTCACGACAACAACCATCCGCATATTTCATAAATCACTGTCCGAAAACTAAACTAGTTGAGCGTCGAAGTTCTGCCTTACCCACCATACTCCCCAAACCTCCCACCAATCGACTACCATTTCTCCAAGACTTCGATAATTTTCTCACCGGTGGACCAGGCAATCAGGACCAGGCAAAAACGGTCTTTGTCGACTTCATCGAATCCCGAACACACAATTTCCATTCTGACGAAATTAATTGACTTGTGTTACGTTGGCAAAAGTACACTAATTCAAATGGTGATGATTTCTATTGATAAAGTAGACTCGCAGAAACGGATAAAACTTTTGAAACAACCTAATCACCTGGTTAGAGGGTCTTGGGACACCTGGTTGCACGACACGATCTTTGAACAAAATAGCATCTGCATCTGTTGCTTTACGTAAGTCATCAGTTAAAGAACATCTGCTGACTGGGCACCCATTAAAAGAAGATGATCCAGATTTCTGACCCCAAGAGCTCAGACGAGTATAGGTGAGTATCACTTTTTCAGGACTGTTGTTTCCTGTAAAGATATAAAGAAATATTCATTACATGGAAGTGTAGATGTTAGAGTGGAAAATTGTTACAGAAAAAAAAAACAGAATAAACAAGCTATACGTATTCATTAACACTTCAATAAAATTTAATAATTCGCTGTTCAATAATTAGTTTAACAAATGAACTGCGTCTGTAAATCATTTTCTGTCTCAAAAATAATAGAAGACTTAGTTGTCGATACTGAATGTTTTACAAAAAAAATAATTTCAGCAATTTTTTACGTCTCCGACTGAAAACTATAAAAGTGAGTACAGTTTTAAATAATTTGATTTTTCTGATTACTTTGAGTCTCTTCAATATTGTTCAAATTGATAGTACACCTTCAATTTTCCCTTTTTCATCTTTCAAAGTAAATTGAAATCATTTAAATATTCGAATGCTACGACTGAATAAGAAGTTGATTTCAAAGGAACTCAACCCACAAATAGAACCAATACATTATGATCTCCAATTCTGGATACTATCTACTATCCATTACTATCAACGTATTCATCATAATACAATATTGTAAAACCTGAAGATACTATTGTGTCGACACGTGTCGAGGTTTTTAAACTTTCAAGTAAAATTTTCACATTAAAGTGGGAACTTTGAATATGTAATAAATGAATATACTCAGTTAACCTGCAGAAGAACGAGTTTGTGCGTAGGTAAATAATGAGTTTACAATTGAACAAGATAAAACAGGTATTGTTACTGTTACTGAAACCCATATAAGGTTGGTGATATGGTAATTAATATTGCTATATTAATGTTAATTATAAATGTACATACATATATATTTATAAAATTTGAGAATCACAGCAGAATATACGAATAATTCTTCACTTCTTGAAAGATTATCCCATTGAGTAGTGTTTGTCAAACAATGCTTGGGTTAGGTTAGGTTAGATCCAAAGTGAGTGGGTCTATTCGACCATCCACCGTAACCCGCAAGGGTTTATTGTGGTTCACACCTATTCACACTCGACCAAATAAACCTAACTTCTGAACGAAGCCGATTAGTTTGTATGTTGAGTAGCTCTGCAGAACTCTGCCCCAGCGGGACAGGCACAAAGTATATGCTCTGCTGTTTCATCATTAATGAGGTAGTTGGATAGTCAAGGTACAAAATTTCCACTTTGATACCAGCGACAACCTTTCTATTTGAGGGTTTTTGCACGTCAGCTACACCTGACGATGCCTTAGATTCAACCGTGTAGGGCTTTTTCGCCTCTGGTTTTGGTGAATTATTACTTGAGCTCAACGTTTGCTAACCTACTCATGGAGGATTCGTTCCTCCACTTGAGATAGATTCTGCGTACGCCGCTCAAGATTTTGGTGCAAGCGGTTTCATAAGGTACCCCGCTCTTGAGGAGACGACTCAGTCGTTTCCTGGCTGCACCACCAAACCTTTTTGTTTCAGGTTCAATTATTGGATCAGGAGTTGGAGAGTTGAGAAGCTCTCCCTCCTGATCTAAATTTACAGAGAGAGGGCACCCGGTATCTCTAAGGTTCCGCAGAGAGTAGAGCCGTAGAGACAGCTCAGTGTCATTCATCCTCTCGGCACGGATACACACACTTCAGGATTAAGCCATCGTTGGGATGCCATTCAGTTAGGGAATAACAAAACCACAAGTGATTCTGTCATTCCCGTATCTAGCGGGGCTACGTGGAAATAGGCATCCGATGGCTGGTTTGCTCAACCCCCACATCCCAAGCCAATGCACCCGCCAAAAACAGCATGCACAGTGGTTCAGGCAGTGAAAGATGAACAAAGACAGCTTATAATCAATTTATTAGTTTGTGTAATTTCTATCTTAGAATAGTAAGAATCCACTTTTCAATACAACTGACAAATAATGAAATTCAGTTAATAGTTTTGAACTTGGAAGGAATAATATTGTACAGTTTGGGCACAAGATATGGGCAGGTTCTTTGCAGCAAGCTTTTCTTAAATCGATTTATAATGTAATTAGAGTTACACATATAGCGTCTTTCATAGGAATGACTTATTTTTCCAATTCATGTTATTTTTGTGGAATTTTATTGTTGTTATTAATGTGTACAACTGTCTCAAGACACAATAACTCATGAAATTCATGAGTTATTGGGCTAAGAGTATCACTACTTTTGTTATTTTCAAAACAGTGGATCAAAAAGAATTTAGTGTTTTGATACTATATTGCTTCTTGATGGGAAAATACCGTTCGAGCGAAGCAATGGCTTGAAAAGTGTTATTAGGACTCTGCTCTATCAGAAACAACAATTAAACGTTGATTTGCTGACTTCAAACATGATCGAAGAAACACCGATGATGCAGAACGCAGTGGACGTCCAAATGAGGCAGTAACAAAAGAAAACATAAAAAAATCCACAAAATCGTTTTGAATGATCGAAAAATGAAGTTGCGTGAGTTAGCTGACATTGTAATGATATCAAAAGAACATGTTGGCTTTATATTGCATAAGCATTTGACTATGAGAAAGCTCCGTTCAAAGTGGGTACCGCGCGAGCTCGCACTGTTGACCAAAAACAACAACGTCTTGATGATTCTAAGCAGTGTTTGGTTATGTTTACCATCAAGAAGTAGTGTAAAATTGAAAAAACGAAATTGTTTTTGATCTATCGTTTTGAAAATAACAAAAGTATGGCCACTCTTAGCACAATAACTCACAAACTTATGTGTAGTGTGTCATGTACTAACTGAAAAAGTGATAATAAAATAAGACTGCATGTTGAGCCCATGTAATTATTTGTAAATAAGAGTTAAGAACAGCTTAAGATTTAGCGACTATAACAGTTAAATAAAAATTAAATAACGCGTAGTTACGATTTGCCTGCGCCAAGGTTAAGAACACTGTTCAGAATCCATTTTAATTGTGAGATTTATGAATATATTCTCTCAATTTCTCTAACGTAGGTCTACTTTATCATAAAGAGTGAATATTGGGTCAATCAATTATATTATTATACACATGAATTTTTGTGAAAAGTGATATAATTTCTAAATAGGCAATTTTTTACCTTGATAATCTTCAGGTACATACATCAACTGATCTACTATCCTATCACCAGAAGCTTGATCTGGGAACAGCCTCAGAGGACCCTTGTGCTTTTCCGGTAACTCGGTTCCGTCTTTCATGAACCAAGGCTTTCCATGGGCTTTTTTAATTGTTTTAGCTTCATTGAGATTAGCCAAAGACAATACGATCTCATCTGGAATTTTCTTTTGCTGTTGCTCAATTTTCACACGATTGGAATCCCAAAAAGTGAAGAAAACTAAGACAATAAAGAAGAAGATAACAAGAAGGAGGAAAAGTCGCACCGGCAATCGAGGAGGCATTTCTAGAAACACTCCATTACCATCTGGAAAAATCGAGAAGAATATGATGAAAATGATTGTTTTATGAAATATCTAAAATTAACACTAAATGGAATGCAATATTAAGGGAGTGGGACTATAGTCGCTAAAAAATGTTTAATTTTTAGGCTGCATATTGAAATACACAAGTATTTTATATCTCAATTTATGTACCAATTATTCATGAGACATATTGAATCTGAATCATTTATAGAAGAAGCTCAATGTGACTGTTGAATATATAAATGGGTGGTTTTCAATCCCAAATTTTTTATTTTTTTTTTCAGAAATGTACAGCTGAATAAAGACAAAATTATTCTGAATATCATCAAAACTACATATAACATTAAAAATTGAACAATACCTATCACTAATGAAAGAATAAAATAATTCATTGAAACCAAAAAAATATCAATTTCAATAAAAATTTAAACGAGAAATTCCGTAAGATTCCAGACGCTGAACTCTACGTAACTATACGCAACCTTATTTAGATAGGAAAATATCGCTTTTCCTGTAGAACAGCAAATAAGGAACTCGCGTTTCCTGGGGTTTCAATACGTCTTCATTTTGCACGGTCTTGACCGAAGAATCGTCGTACCTAATCCAGCAATTGTAGCCGACGTGGAAGGCATCGGTCACGTAGTGTCCAATGTTGGCATTTTTGCCTTCATGGTAAACGACGGCGAATAGCTTGTATTGTCTCTCTGTTGGAGACTGTGTTTCCAACGATATTAATTCCCAAATTGGATTTGAAGTGAGTGGATTTTTTAAATTCCATAACAGCAGCAGCCGTAATTTTATATTTGAAAGATACTTTTCTGAAGTGCAGGCAACGACCTCGAGGTCAAAAAGTTATCGTAAAAGTGTAAGTTGCAGATACTTGGTTATCTTCATAGGAAATTCTCAATCATTGTCAAATTTTTCATGCAAAGTCGCTGTAATCAATGTTCCTCAACTATCAAAAAAAATCATACTGAAATCAACCCAGATATTCTAAAATTCATACTGGCCAACTGAAGATCTCATTATCGGAGGTTCCATACGAAATCAATTTCGATGAGACATATCCGCTTCAAAAGAGAAAAAATTGAAGGATACATCCAAATAAGCATTATCCTCTGGAAAACCTGAACAGAAAATGGCAACAAAACGGTCGATATAAACAGAGCATGAGAGTTTGCTGGCAAAACTTCGATGCTATGGCTTATTGGATCATTTTTGTGTATTGCTCTCCAGCTTTCTGAAAGAACGTTCCCTGCAAGTGGCCGTCGATGGATATCTCTCGAATATTTTTATCCAACACTGGTGTTCCCCAGGGATCTATACAGTCTCCAACCCTATTTTGATTGTATATTAACGACTTATTGGAAAAAAACAAGAATTCACAATATATTGCTTTGCTGACGACAGCACACTTGCCTCGTCATTCTATTTAGATTTCAGGACGCCACAAAAATCCAGGCATCGGTTTTCTCCAAGAAGATGAATGCCTCCGAACGGAATATGAAAATGTCTGTTAAAAAATCACTCAAAATATGTTTTTCCGTTAACCAGCCATCGCCCCCCTACGAACGACAACTCTAAATAGTCTAAACTTGTGCGAGCTAAAACCTAAGGAAGTCTAACCTTTTTACATGTGATTCCTAACACGGGTTGGACGATAGAAAGTGAAAATCGATCGTCCGGCCTTGCGGTTTGAATCACCGGTTTGCACAGCGGTCGGATTGACTGAGTGGAGCTACCGTGATACAGACAATTCCGCTTTCTGCTTCAATGAGTTTGTTGGGGGTTGAAATGGACACCAATATGTCTTGGCACAATCATGTCGCTGGAATTGCAAAGTCTGCTTCTCAAAAGCTTGGAACACTGTTGCGAACCAGAAAACTGTACACACCTCAGCAACTTCTGATGCTTTATAAAGCTCAGATTAGACCTTCTTCAAAGTATTGTTCTCATGTTTGGAGCTTCGCCCCTAAGCAAACCTGAAGCTGCTGGATTCCATCCAGAAAAGAGCCATCCGCCTGATTGGAGACGCGAACATCACTTGCAACTTCGATAGTCTGGAACATCGAAGGAAGGTTGGAGATTTGTCTCTCTTCTATAGATACTTTCACGGGAGGTGTTCTAGTGACTTGGCACATTTGATTCCACCAAGAGCGGTACATATCAGAAATACGCGACTAACTGTGGCTGCTCATAGTTTTGAGAGTATACCATAAAGTTCACTGTTTAAGAACTCTTTCATTTGGAGAACTGCGTTAATGTGGAATAAACTTCCTGAGAATTGTCTTCCAAATTGAGTTAATCTTCAGCGATTCCAATCCAATGTGAATCGCTACTTTTGGACAGGCACCGTTCTTAGAAGGATTTTCCTGTAGTGTTTGTGTTTTGTCCTTGAAAAATCGGGGTAGTTTGACGCAACTTTGTATGAAGAAATGTTTGATACTGTCGTATTGTCCTATTTCAAGTTTGGAAAGCCATATTTCTCACGATTTATTCAAGAAATATGGAGAATAGTATAGGGTTTATTTTGCTGCCCCGAAACAGTACTCATCTGTTATAACCCTTTGTTGTTTGTTGCTTCAGAGCAACGATTTAGAGCGATTTAGAGTTCCTGGCAACTCAATATGCAAAGAAGTATTTCAATTTCTGTAAACAATCGCTCACCGTGACATAACCAAATTGTTTGGATGAAATCCAAAAAGGAATTCGAAGCCACAGTATTTCCAATATTCTGCAAAAATGAAGTTCTAACTGCCATTTCTGCGCAAGAAACAGAGGTTACGAGATGTTTTGAGAGAAATATTCGAGCAGGCTTGATATTTCAGTAAGGACCCGAATACTGGGACCAAGAGAAAGAAGTTCATCACTGAAGTAGTCAGAGTGCATTGGAGAAACAGGTTGACAAATCTGGGTTGGAAAGTATCAGAATATCAGCGATTGAATCTGAATCTTACTGTACAGAAGATAGAGAAAAGAAAGAGAGCACAAGCTCGAAAAGTGTCTGCCCCACGATTTGAAAGATAGACATTAATTGTAATGTTTCGAGGTCTATTCTTCTTAGCTTTTGCACAACCAAAACGATCAACAGGAGACATTCAGGACCGATAAGTCACCTAGGTACTTCCCAAACGCGAAAACCCACCAAAAAAGACCATGGTTAGGTACTGTATGGTGGTCAGCGGCTGGTGTGATTCATTATAAATACATACTATGAATCAAAGTTCTCCGTGCCTTTCTGTCTATCTGACTGTCTGAATGCGATAGACTCAAATTTCATCGAACAGAATTTCATATGGTTTTCACCAATGTGGAGACTCAAGATGAACTTTGAGGATTTCATCTACATCATGAGCAGCCTTCACACCATACAATTTCAATTGATATCTTAGAAGATATCTAAAATTGATATTATCGTTTGACAAAAGTGATTAAGGGCCAGCCTCATAATCCGACAGACACTCGTGATGAAGTAAGTTTACGATTGTCTCATTTCAATTTTTTTTTAAATGAAAGCGGTACCTAGTTCGATGAATACTATCAGAAAAATAGCTAACTAGATCCAATGCTTCAGAAAACGGTTTCAAAGAAGCGGTTCAGACAAAACAGTGCATGACGTCACCAGATATATGAAATACGGAGTCTGCTAGAAATCGCCATTAGTTTCAGATATTGCTGTAGAAGCGGCGTAAAAGTTCAATTATTATTTGATTGTTTGTATTTCTCTGCCTATGTTGTGGAAATGTATAGAATGAAAAAATCTGATTCGAAGTAATTATAGAAAAAAATATTTCATATCTCATAATGCATAGGATAGAAAAACTTCATTTATTATCGAAACATTCCAATACATTTAAATATATCGCTTTTCTTTCATTTCATTGCTGCAAAAAAGCAAAAAAATTAAAATTGAATAACTTGTTTTCAGTCATTTTTGATAGAAGAACTATCCTCATTTCTCTATTCAGCCTTAGACATGGTTCCGCGATAACGGCAAATGGGATATGATAGTCAGCTTTATACAAACCGGGAAAAATGCAAAAGCAGCAAACAGTTCGTATTACGGGAGGTATCCAGAGAGAAGACAACCTTTTAGATACTTATTGCACGATTAAGACAAAACCTAATTGATGATGGTCAATTTGAAAAGGCCAAAATTACACGAATTGAATAAGGATAAGGAGTTGGAAGAAATTGTCTTTTTAGGAGCTGTTGAAAATAATCTTGAAACGTAAACGTAAAATTTGAAAATATCAACAGGCCTATCAAGAATTAACGTTGGGAGAATTTTCAAAAAACACAAATTCAAGCCATACAGGACCACAAGAGTTCATCAACTCAGACCAGGATATTTTGAACATCGCATGGCTTTTTGCCAGTGATTCCTGGAAAGTTGTAACCAAGTGCGTGTTTTTTCATCAAATTGTATTTGGACAGATGAAGTTTGTGTGAGCAGTGCCGGCAGTTTCAACTGCTTGTGTACAACAAAATCCCCATTCTATTGTGGAGCAGAGAAGTCAAGGAAAATTTGGATTTATCGTGTGGACAGGTGCTATTTATAATGGCACACTTACATCTCAGAGGTATTTAGAAATTTCAGGGCAAAATACTGAACCCCTTGTTAATGAATTGCCACTAATAGATCTCAAAAAAAGATATCTTCAACAAGGCGGGGCTTCGCCTCATAACACTGCAATTGTTACCAATTTATTATCTGCAAATTGGATAGCCAAAAAAGGACCCAACCGTTAGCCGACCAGGTCACCGGACCTAACGCCTATGGGCTTTTACCTCTTGCGTAGGTTGAAAGATCTTGTTTTTACATTGCCAACCAATTCTAGATACGAATTGGAAGCGGTATTAATGCAAAGTTTTGTTTCTCTCACTCCTATTGAACTAATTAATTCGGCAAAAAACGTTCAGAAAAAGTGTCGCCTGTATGTAGAAGAAGCTGGTAGAAATTTCGAATACCTTTTCTGGAAAAATATATTTCATTGTTTGTTCTTTATCATTATTATCACTATTGTTGAAGTTTTATTTATTAGTAGTGAAAATAGTATAAATTGTTATCCGTTTTATTGAAACTATGTGTTTTAATTACTGCTGTGAAAAGTTTTTTCAACATTTGATAGAAACTACTGAATAATTTCTTTCTATTTTAACGCCGCGTCCTCAAAGGCCTACTTGATCAGAATGCGTTTCAAAGTCTACATGAAAAAACCTAACAGCTCTCTATTTCAAAGATGACTAGCAAAACATCAAGTGTACTACGTTTTTGGAAAGGTAATTTTAAGTTCTATTGAAATATGCAGGAATATACAGGGTGTCTCATTAAAAAATAATTTTCCATCAATAACTATTGATGTCTCATTCGACAAAATAAGTTTTTACACTATTGAACTCTACGTAAAAAAGTGCTTTGGAAATGTTTTCATAGAAACAAGAAGTTTTTAACAGAAAAAAAGTTACAGCACTTTTTGAAAATGCTGTAACTCAGAAACGATGATAGATATCGAGATGCGGTTTTCACCATTAAGTTTGTCATAAAAGATTTTCTTTAAAAGAGTATACGAAAAGGCTCGTCTGAAAGCAGCAATGATTAAGGAATCGACTGCTTGGCTGAATGCTATACCTGTTGCATCTCTTGGAACACTATTAGACGATGAATCTTTCAGAATAGCAGTAGGACTTAGATGGGTTCATCTATTTGTGTTTCTCATACTTGTGTTTGTGGTAGTATAGTTGATGAGAATGGTACACATGGTTTGAGTTGCAGGAGAAGTGCAGGGCGTACATCTCGACATCACCAAGTGAACGACATATTGAAACGAGCTATGTTGTCAGCGGATGTTCCTGCAATTCTGGAACCCTTAGGTACCAGTCGAGATGATGATAAAAGAGCAGATGGTATGTCTCTCATACCATGGAAATACGGTAAACCTGTGGTATGGAACTTTACTTGCGTTGACACGGTCGCGAGTTACAGTTCGATAACCTCTTACATCAGCAGGATATTGTTCGATGACCCGAAGACGACATCAATTATTTTGCTGATATCTGCAAAGTCGGCAATAATTTATATATAAATAGGTTCAATTGATTTGTAATAGCCAGTACTTANTGAAGTCGCCCCGGAGCGCCAATTAATTTTTATTGTTGTTTTTATTTTATTTTTATCGTCGTTTTAATAACATCCTCAATTATTGTAAAAATAAATAATTATGTTAAAGAGTCCAATTTGGCCCACTCTGGACATAGTCAAACATTGTCCTCAAAACAGAATTCGGAGGGTTTCAATTTTGTCTAGTTTTCTCAGAAATCCAGGTTAACAACAAAAAGAACAGTGATACGTCAATCCATTGAAATGTTTCAAACAGCTGAAAACGTAAGTAATGAAGTAGAATTTATTGAAATGGGCACTGCTCAAAATTGTTGATTGTTACATCGACAACTATTGTACCTATATAGAGATGCCAGAAAAAAATTAATTATTCTACACGAAATATCTCTGAGAATCTCTCTACCTACACGATCCACAGAAATCACTTGAACTGATATAATCATGAATGTATGAACCAAAATGTTACCTTTTTGTACATACTAATCAAGCAGGAGGCTCAAAGAAGAGTATTAAAGAATAACAATATTATTTTCTCACCAAAAATCACTATATTACTGACACGATTCAGAATACAGTGATAAAAAATATATCGATTATTGATACAATGATAAGAAAATATGTACTTCAAATTGCGCGAGAGAATTTGGTATATCCTGTGTGTAAAAACTAATCATCTGTGGAACAAATTGAAAAATTGGAGAGCTACTAAAAAACTGTATTGAAATTTTCACATTACTTTGACAAAACTATTTTCCATCTTCATCATGAATATAACAAAAATAAGAAACTTTCAAAGAAAAAACAATAAATCGTATTGTAATGTAGGAAAACGATAATTTTTTTGTATTGACAAATGGAGTCTCATATATTTAATTTTTTCCAACATCTTCATAATCATATTGTTTTTTGACTAGTTGGAAGCTGAAGAAATCATCTTCAATAAAACTGCATTCAACAACAGTTCCAAAATTGAATAAATAACCTGAAATCAATAAACAGAGAGTTGTGTTTAAGAGCGAAGCGAATTAGCATTTCACAAAATTTAAGTGTTCTTTGTTATTAGCCGTCGAGATGGTATTTAATATTTCCTGTGGGTTATTCAGGTAAAAAAAGTCAAGCATACAATAAGAAGTAAACAAGTGCTATTTTAGGAATATAATAAAAAAGTAAATGGATATTCAAAGCAATATTTCATTTTTCAAAAAAGTTTTTTCTAATTAGTCTTTCTACTTCTTTCAGGTTAGAATTATAGAAAATGAAAAAATAATTTTTCAAAACGTTGTTGGCCATACATTGTGAAAAATTATTCATTTCAAATTTTTTGGACCGGTATAATGAGCATTACGATTGACTTAATAGACAATTATGTATTTTTCTCACTACTAACCTGAGAAATTGCTATTATTTACTCCATTCCCCTAACGAAAATTAATATTTCTCTCCCTTATAATGATAATGAAAAAAAAACCTAGTTAAATAATGAGAACAATTCTATGATTTTAAAGATATTCACAAAAACTTTTGTTAATTTAATTATCAACTAGAAGTAGGAAATTGAACATTGGAAATACGCTTGAAAATTATTTGAAATTATAATTAATTGTACAATTGTGAAAAATCATGTGTATTCCAGCATTTCCTGTATTAATGGAACTAACATTTGGACCAGGTGAATTCACTTCTGTGTTACAAACAATCCTCGTATTTTAANAGCCAATATACCATGTCTGGTTTTAGTCCTCATGTTTTTTTATAGGTGCGTCTGGCGAGCATCAGTGCTACCTCCTGTCCAAGTGTTGGTTCCAGGTCAGTTTGGAATCTAGGATTACTCCCAGATATTTAACCTCCCCCGACACTTGTATTTCTTCACCTCGAAGTTTTAGAGGTTCGAGACCCTCCGTTTAAGTCATATTGGTGAATGCTACTATGGTCGATTTAGATGGGCTTATGTTAGGCCCTTCTTCTACGATCCATTTTGTTATAATGTTCAGGGCCTGCTGCATGCATCCCTTCACTACATTATTGTATTTACCCTGGACTAAGATGATTAAGTCGTCTGCATAGCCCAGTGCTTTATACTCATTATGGTCCAAGGGACATAGTAGTTCGTCCATTACAGGGTTCCATAACAGTGGAAATAAAATCCCCCCTAAGGACGTGTTTTACGTGTGTTTAATTACAAATTTCGAAACTCCTGATAATAATTACATTACTGAACACTTGGAAAAGTAGATAATTCTAGTTTGGTCAAATTTCGTTTCCAATATATATGATGTCGTTCCGGAAATTATAGCCTCGAAGATGAGGCCCAGTGAAACAGGACGAGTATTTGAGGGCCCTGGTGGAGATTGGCCCATCACAAAGGATGCGTGGGATAGCGAAAGAACTGGGCGTCAGCTCCCATGCAATAGTTCATGATGTAATAGGTCAAAAAATGGGTGCCCCACGACTTGAACGGTCTACAGAAAATTTCATGTTTCGAGGTTTATTCTTTTTTGCTTTTGCGCAACCAAAACGATCCTTTATTGGATCGGAGCATCACGTGTGATGGAAAGTGGATCCTCTACCACACCAGGAGACACCAGGAGACGTTCAGGTCATTGATTAAGCACTGATAAGCCACCCAGGCACTTCCTAAGGGCGAAAACTCACAAAAAAACCATTGTGTACTGTAAGGTCGTCAGTGGCAGATGTGATTCACTATAACTTTCTGCAACCGGGTCAAATCGTCACCTATTGTTGGGAAATCGACGAAATGGATTGAGAATTGCGTCAGCAGCAGCAGCTGGGACTAGTCAACAGAAGTTCCGATCTCGCTCCACAACAAAGTCTGTCTGCAGTNGCCAAGATTTCGTCGTACAAACTCCAGGTCCTCTCCACCAATCGTTGACATCTTCGTAATGCCGGTGTGTTAAAGGAGCATGCATCATGGCGCATAATCGGCACCAAAAGAAAGTGTTGATGAACTCTCCCGTGCCCTTCCATTTAAAATAGGAGTTGTACAGAGCGTTGTCTTTGTCGAGTCTGTGCAAATATGAAGCCAGTTCTTGCGGACCGGCAAATTCATCTACGTGAATATAGGAACCTGTAACCAAAAAAAAAATCAGATAACTCATCAAATAGTGTGTTAGGTTAGGTCCAAAGTGAGTGGGTCTATTCGACCCTCCACCGCAACCCGCAAGGGTTTATTGTGGCTCACACCTATTCACACTCGACCAAATAAACCCAGCTTCTTAACGAAGCCGATTAGTTTGTATGGTGAGTGGTCTTCTTGTAGGTCAGATGGTAAGAGTATGGCTCTATCGAACTCTAAAAACCTGATTCGGTACCCAGCGGGGCAGGCACAAAGTATGTGCTCTGTGATGATGAAACATCATTTTCCAAATAGAGGCGACAGACACTGTTTTCCAGCAGTCCGAGTCTCTGCATATGATGATTCAAATGACAGTGACCTGTAAGAAGAAGACATCATAGTTCATCTCTACTGTATAGTCCAACAACTGTTTGGTATCAAGCTTTGAAGGGTGAATAAACGCCTTGGAGTGAGCCAATCCCGCCAGAATTCCATGAATCTTCTTGCATTCCAGGTGTTCAGTCTTTGTTTGACAAAGCCTAAAGCGATGCCAAAGACAGGTTCTGGTCCGATGAAGCTGCTTGCAGCACCCTCCTCTGCAAGGGAGTCAGCAGCCTCATTGCCTTCCAGGCCAGTATGGCCAGGAATCCAGACCAGAGACAATATGTTAAGTCTTCCTATCGATGAGAGTCATTTTTGGCAATTTGACACTAATTTGGACGTTGCTTGGTAGGAGCCAAAAGCTTCCAAGGTCGCTTGACTGTCCATGAGTATTTGAATTGACTTGTGTATGAATTCTTTGAATTTCTCTGCACACAATTCAATAGCGCAGCACTTGAAATACAGTCGCATAGGTTCCTAGGCAGGTTGATATCTCTGTCCTGGGTCTGCCACTGAAAACACCTTCACCAGAACCGGAAGGTGTTTTTGATCCATCTGTGAACCAACAACTATCGGCTCTCAATATTTCTTTCTCCCGGAGGATCCAGTCCTCTCTACTCGTGAAAAGTACTTTTTAAGGCAGTTGTGCACAAGTCTATATGTAGTCCATCTAGCCTCTCTCTTCAGTAAAATATGTAGAGGAGGTAGATCTAGAAGGATCTCCATAGCCGCTGACGGTGTGGTACTGATGGCACCACTGATGGCCAGACAAGCCTGTATCTGTAAGCCACAGAGCTTCGCTTCGACCGTTTTCTGTAAAGCCTTCGGCCACCAGGCAATTGCACCATAAGTGATTATTGGTCTGACAATCATCACATAAATCTCAAAGAATGTGTAGAACAGGGGTAACCAGGTCGATCGCGATCGACCGGTCGATTAGTTCAGTCGATTTTGGCAAGGCAAGAAATATATTAACCTAGAAACACTAAGCAAAGTAATCATTAATTGCTACAGGAAATAATTAATTTTCTCAAAGAGAGGGGTGATTATCAACAACTGCTTGGCAATGTGATTCAGCATTTTTAACAGATTCTACTGGAAAACTGAGCACATTAAATCTGAAACTACAGGGTAAGAATGAAACAGTAACAGAAATGATGAGTTCTATTGCAGCATTCTAAAGTCAAACAACGTTTATGATATTTGACATCGAAAAAAAAAAACGTCAACAAATTTTGAACATCAAGCATCATATGGAAAAAGATACTGTTGTAAATCTTGCCCTAAAGAAAATAACGCCGGCCGCCACCCATAAACCAGTTGTGTCGTAGCTAAGAGCGCGCGAATGTACGATGTTTGCTGCCGCTCTAGATGTAGCGAGAATAATGCTACCGATTTCGATGGGATTCTGGCAAAATTTCCTAGCGCATTCGATTACGATATATAAACGCTAGCCACGAGCATATCGACACAGTCAAGTGGAAGTTACAGTGCGGTACGCGAAGCGATCTAGTTAGGTGATAGACATTCGAATAATAGTTGAAGTTTTAGATGAAGGGTTAATTGTATTCAAAGTGAAATAAAGTTAAATTTGATTATTGCTCAGTATAGTCAATTATTGGTCAACTCGCGGGGAAAATGTAGTAATACTACCGACAATTTATATAGTAATACTACACGACAGAAATTAAAGCACTCGTATCAGACTTCGACATTGGCTTTACTGATTTCAACAAAATTGAGAAGTTGGTGGAATTCATCAGTTACTGGTTTAATAATTTCATTGATCATAGTGATCTATGATACAATTCAAATGTACCACTTGATATTTCAGAACGGAATCATTACTCTGCGCTGCAACATATTCCTGATAGCAAGGTCATCTTCAGGCACANAATATTATATACAGAGTGTTCCATTTGAAAAATCAAAGTTGCTACTGCTTTCTAATAGAAGCGGCAACACCGCATTGTCGAAAATATTTTAGTTGGCTAGAGAATGTCCGAATATGCCCTCCATTAAATTTTCAAAGTGATCCGTTGTCTGGTTCACCAGAAACGTCTAATGTGCCATCCACCGTGAATCAGCCTGTATACGAATGTATTCTTGAATTTCTGGATTACTCAAAATAATTCGTGATACGGTAGAAAATATATTGGAAAAAAATATAATTGAAAAAACTGATTTTGTTGGATACTGTTTGAACCAATTTTGAGCCGTGCTTTTATAGTAATCACTATAATTATTATAAAAGTACGAATTATGAAGTAGAAGTAAGTAAGTATGATGCACTGTTTGGAACCTTTGGTGTAGTAATGAATTACTGGAGTTTTTTCCCAACACCAAATCGTTATTTTTAACACCTCGACACATGTTTCGATCACCAAGTGATCATCTTCAAAGAGGAAGATTAAAACTCCAGTAATATTCAGTAAGTAAGTAAGTAAATTTATTCAATTCAGTTATAAGACAAAATACATAATATGACGAAAGGATATAAAATAAAATAAATGAATAAAGATACATTAAATGTAGATATTATAGAATTGACATACAATATACATATTGCTTTCTATTCATTGAATAATTTTGAAACCAATTATAAAATAAACCTCTGATACTTATATTATGCATTATTTTCAGAAGAATTTCATAGTCCACAGTATCAAATGCTTTCTTCAGATCTAACATCCACTTAGACTGTAACACACTATTTCTAGAAGCTCAATTATCGGCTTGTAGTAATAAATCAATTCCTATCTGATAGATAGTTTCGAACCACATACAAAAAAATACTGTGATTCGTGTTTTCTGAAAAATACTTCATAACATTTTGTTCTTCTCTATATCAAATTAATTTCGAAAATCTAGCTGAATAACACACACACTTATTTAATCTAGATCCATTTGAAAATGGGTAGAAATATTCAAAACTTCTGATTCTATATTACTAAATCTTCATATTGCTAGGAATATTCTTTGTCAGATATCAGCTTCAATATTGATTGAATTATAAAATAGTTTTCACCAATATAATTTTGATTTAGAAAAAAGTCAGTTGAAGAATAACATTGAGAAATGTCGAACTCATAACATTTTATGTTACTTGAAAATGAATATGTAGATATGAATAGAAAATTTCCGCAAGTACAAACTGCTCCGACTTACTTTCAAAGGACCACAAGTACCATAAATGTCCACTGGAATGTATTTGGCAAGCTCTCTAGCATAGGCTAATCTATTATTACGAGCTCCACAGTTCGATACGAACCAAGCTACTTTCTTCGTTTTGTTTGCCACGTAATCCCTATTTTGAACTTTCTGGCGTACCTGAAATAAAAATCATCGAATACATTACTAAGTTTATTTTCATGAATGAAATTTTTGTATTTTGGTTCTGACCGTTCGTGTTATTACCCACAAATGTAGACAAAAACTCTAGTTGAGCGAACATATTATTTTGGTGAAAAGAAAGATTTCTATTCAATGGGAACATTTGTAATGGACCAGAAAATACACAGCATGTGATATTGAAAAAAATGTCTTTCAACGAGTTGTTATTGCCAGAAGTGACCGTATCACCGTATCTACGAAAGTAAACAGGAGCTCAAAATATGGACTTCAAATTCGTGAAGAGCGGACAGAAAAAGTAAAAACAATACATTAGAAAAAAACAAGGGGACCCCGTAAAACGAATAATTAACAAATTGAAGAAAAGAGAATTGAAACCTTTGTTTTTTTAATAGAAAGTTTTCAATTCTTCCATTTTGATTTGAAAACCAGTATAAACTCCTGAAAGATGTTCTGGAGAGTATATTGCAGATCCTAAATCAACCCTTCTATGGGATTTTAAAATAAGATGTCAATGAAGACAAACTATGTTTGAAAGTTGAATCTTAGAGGACAGCAGACTAACTGAAGCCTGAATCGTTACAAAATTAGGCCTCACAGTTGATTACAGACTCACCTGGACACTACATATCGACTCACTTTGTGAAAAACTACGTGAAAATTGTTATGCGTTGAGATTCTTGTCTAACTACTGTAATGCTGAAATTTTGTTGAGTCTGTACTATGCCACTATTCATTGTCATTTGCGATACGGGATTTTAAATTGGGGCACGGGATCATCCGTGGAAAGGATTGTCATATTACAAAAGTCGGCAGTT